ATGCGCTATGCAGTGAAAATTGTTTTAGAAGCTATATGGGACATTTCTTTAGATTTGAAACTGAAATTGATCCAGCAAAAAATTATGTTTTAGCTATACTGCACTTCACAATGTGATCACAGGAAGACACTAAGACAGATAGATGCTGGAAATGTCATGCTGGAAATGTCTCATTGAAGCATACAATGTAGGCACGTCCAGTGATTTTTTGAGTCTGAAGTCGTTGTCTAGATCAATTTTGTATTGGTGTAATCCTTGATATTTGCAGATGTTCATGTAACAATAAACTACATTCCTTTAGTATGGGGATGAATGCCAGAAGAACAAAAATGGCTTTTGTGAGCCCTGGTGGTTGCTAAAAGACTTATTATTTGACCCTGGAAGGATAAACACTCAGAATCTGTTAACAATGGTTTGAGGACCTCATCACCCTTGCTGCATTTGAACATATTTTCTATAAAAATCAATCTCATGTGGATGTCTATTCTGAAGGGTGTGAGGAGTGTTAGGGGAGAGGGGGACACGTCATGCTGTTTCTGGGGTAGTTTGTCCACCTTTGGTCCCCACCCTGCACTCAGTTCTCACCAGTGGCTCCTAGAAGCTGTCAGCATGTGGCAGTGGCCACACCCCAGGAAATGGCTTCAACTGGTTGTCTAAACCAGGTGAGGTTGGCCAATCGGTCTCAAACCCTCACTGAGTTATAGACTTCCCCTGCATGTGAATAAAGGCTTTGGAGGACTGAGCGGACGAGACCAATAGTGGGTCCAACGGTCAAGAAGGTGGTTTCTGCACATGCTGTAGAGGGACGTGATGGGCAGATGGGACTCTTCAACCTGGGAAGGTAGTCCATCTAGGAGAAGGAAAGCTGACCCTCAACCTCCATGGCCTTGTGACTATACTCATTCATGAGAAAGGCTTCAGGAGTAAATTGTGAGGAAAACCACTGCCCTGCAGAACATCTTCAGGAAAAGGAAAGGCTACACAAATCTGGATTGGAGTCCTCAGAACAGTTGGATGGTGTCTTGTAGGCCTTCTTCCAGCATCTCCTGCAGCCAAGGTGGTGCCAGATGTGTTGCTCTGCTTTCCATCAGTGAGGCTGGGGGGGGGGCTTTTCTCCTGGGGAGACCAGGACCTCAGGCTTGCTCCCCAGAGAGGTCACTTTGGTGCTGCTAAAACAGCAAAAACAATGTGGGAGGCAGCAGCTATGAATTACTGGTCTCTACAGTCACAGTAGGTGCTGTGATTCTCCAGCAGTTTGACTTCACCCACAGAGGTGCACTCCATTGTTTTTTGAGACAGATGGATGCAAACAGCAATAACCTATTTGGACATCTGGAGGACTTATATCTACTTATATCTACTGATGAACTTCAGATGGATGTACTGATGGTTATTGTATTCCTTAATGTGAGCTGACAGTGTTTGTTGATACTGGATTTTTCTTCTTCGCTTTTTTCTTTTTTCTTCTTCATTAAATTTGCTATTAAAAATTAATGTTCAATAGTTTCTCTCTGTAACAACATGAACTGCAAACGTATGTTTGCATCTTATATACAGTCCATAAGGTTGTGATGGTATGATGCAGGACATAAGAAACTTTCAATATTTGACAGAAGAATCCAGTTGTGCTTGTTTTATAAAGAGCAGAGAAAGGAATTGCAGTAATGAGCAAACCAGTTGACCAAAAAATAGGGGGTGCATCAATATGGTATAGATTGCCCCAGCAATTTCCATGCACAATAAGAAAATTGGAATTTTATGTCCACTGAGTTCTGTTGGAGGTTATGAAACAAATGAGTTGCATGTCAGGTACTTTAGAAAGAAATCTGATGAAAAGCAAAGCCCTCAGCAAGAGCACACATCCGATTGTGTCAGATTTCACAACACAATGCTTATGTTGCTGAATAGGTTCACATCTCAAACTAGAAAACATTGCTATCTTACAAATGCCACCAAGGTTGAAAAACACTCAAAACCAAACACCAGCATGGAATCTTCTTTCTGCCCAAGCTTGAATGCAGGTCCCCCCCAAGAGACAGGAAGGGTTACTGAGGGTTCATATATTTTTCTTAGCATAAGCAGATGAAGATAAGCCTAAGCATGTCAACAGTTTTAAGTTGCCATAGCCACACTGGTAATGGGTCTGGATAATAGTTTAATAAATAAGGGTGTGTTTGACTGCAATGAAAGAGTTACTTTTTGCAAAGTAGTGGGGCCAGAAAACATAGGGTAAAACAAAGCAATTTTGTGCAAAAGGGATTTCAAAAGCTCCTCCATAGTAGTACTTAATTCTCTACTACCATATATGTCCACTTGCCAAGTTGTCTTTAAAAACAGCAAGAGTGGAATTGATTTTTCTAGTTAGAACAGGCTGTCTATAGCTCTGTATCTCTATAACAACACAACAGATAACTTACAATGGAATGCAGTAACTTTTAAGGCCACATTCTGCCCACTCCATTTATGTGCAGTACGTTTATATTCTTATGTACATGTTTTATTTGTTTGTTCATCTATTTATTTTGCATACACAATCATCATTTTTTAGAGAAAGAAAAGAAGTCACTGACGGCCAAACATCTCTTAGAGATGGATAATGTGCTGAAGTTTGTGTATGTGTATATATAGAGGCAAGGAGATGTTTAATGAATTCAGATCTGGCTGCCCTGGACTCCTTTGAGAGGAAGGATATAAATTTAATAAACTATATAAATGGATAGACAGACAGATTTAGGATACAAATGTAGTGAATAAATAAATAAAAGTTGTCTTCTGCTTTCTAAAAAATATATCAGCAGAATGTAGCCTTTTGGTACTACCTGGAACCATCAAATCAATTAGAGTTTTTCATTTGCTTTAGTGAAATGTGAAGTGCAGTCTTCAGCTGCTGGCTGTCCATTAACTGCCTGTAAAACTTGAGCTTAGAGGAGGAGGAAGTGGTTTGACACATTTTCACTCATTTTTAGACAAAGCAACAGACATTGCTACATAGCGATAACTTTGAAAGTTCTGCTCTGCAGAATTTCCTGCTATTATTGTCACTTTTTATGGAAGGATAGTTTTGCACTTCTGGCCAAAGTAATATTGTTATTATTATTTTTTTGTTTGGTTTACGCAGTAGCTTTTCGCCAGAATAATCTGAAAGAATTGATTGACTGCGTATGTATTAGATCACTTCATGCAAGACTGTTATACAGTACAGCCATGCCAAAGTGGAAATGCAGAGCCCATCATGGTCAGCAAAACAATATTGAATGGCTTGTGCACAAGTGATAAATGACAAAGTTTCCCTATGTCTTCTAAAGTAATGTGTCGTATATTGATAGATTCTCTTCTAGATGCTTGAGAGAGATTCCTAAAGTACTTTCAAATAGCCCATACAAAGAAGGGTAAGAAAAATGGCAGAAAGGGCTAGGATGATCAAGGTTGCAAAGCTAGGAGAAAAAGGAGTGGAAATGTTCACTTATTCACCCCAATGGAAATCAATGCGGTGAACTGATACTCACCGTTGTTGCTGCTTTCGGTCTGCAAATGATGCATAATTGATTATGCACCCCCTGTTTGCATTAAAAAGAATGGGGTGGAATGATGTAATGACAATGTAGTCACACAGGACCTTAGTCTACAGGTCTCACTATTCCTCTAAGTCAAGCTATAATGTATCTCCCTCCTGTTCTCTTCAAATGCAAAAAAGGGTATTAAGATGCCTACTTGGGAGACAAGGGCTACCTGAACAATTTGCCACCCCATTGCTCAGCAAAGGTCAGAGTCACTCCCTCAAAAGACAGAGGTGAGAGAGCCTTTAAAAAGCAGGGCTGCCCTCTCTCACCCCCAGGGATCCAGGCTGGACTTTCTAATCCCATTGGAAATCTGACCATCCACGCTGTCTACTTCTGCTAATTTTTGTATTTTTTTAAAAATAATATTTATTACTTTTCCAACAATTTAAACACTACAAAAACAATACAATACAATACAAAAACACTACATAACATTGACACATTAAACACATTAAACTAACAAAACAAAACAAAAACAGTAAAATAAATCAAACAATTTCAATATCCCATCTTTCATTCACTTATTTCCACGACCTCCTCACACCTCCCTTTTTGTATTCCACTTCTGTTAATTGTTTCAGCAATTCCTTTCCCTCTTCCTCTGTTTTCTATCCTATAATTAGCTTAACACATTCTAACCTTATTTTTTCCTTTAATACTCTATTAATCTATTTATACTTAATTCGTTAGAACATTTCTACTAAAGCCATATAACTTCATTCCAGCATTTTTCTAACATTCATTAATTTTACAGTATTTCTGTAAATAGTCTTTAAACTTTTTCCAATCTTCTTCCACCAACTCTTCTCCCTGGTCTCGGATTCTGCCAGTCATTTCTGCCAATTCCATATAATCCATCAACTTCATCTGCCATTCTTCCCGGGTGGGTAAATCTTGTGTCTTCCAATACTTCACGATAAGTATTCTTGCTGCTGTTGTTGCATACATAAAAAAGGTTCTATCCTTCTTTGGCACCAATTGGCTGGACTTTCTAATCCCATTGGAAATCTGACCATTGACGCTGTCTACTTCTGCTAATTTTTGTAATTAGGACAGGAGTAGTTCGGTTTTGGAGTCACTGGGCTCTTTCTGTTTTTAGTATTTCTGTCGGACCCAATTGCCCCCCTCCTTAGATATTCTTATTAAAGTTTCGTAATTGGAATAGTGGAGTTTGTCTGTATTTGCCAGTCTTGGGATTTGAGAATCCCCATGAGCCTGGAGCAGGGACTTCAACAAGTAATTTGAATATGTGATGTTTGCTTTGATGGGAAATGGGCAGGGCTGTAAAACGAACCAAGTCACACATGGTGTAGTTGTGGAATTACAAAATAAGATCCTGGTGTACTGAGCATGCCCAAGGAATTTGGTAAAGGTGACCAATCACATAAGGCTCCCTTTGTTTGGTATTGGCCAATCAAACAATGCTCTCCATGACGCTCACGACATTCTCTGTTCAAGATGACAGTACGCATGCTCACACTGTTTGTAACTTTGGACCAATCAGGGAAAACAGGGTGAGGGAATCTCAGTATTTGAATTGGATAGAAATTGGATAGGAAATTTATATGTAATGGAATTTGTGGAATGTGCTTTATCGATGTATTAAATGGTATGGAATGCGTTTGCACAAGGCCAGAGAGTTTGGGAGAAATCCCTCCTGGTCCTTTCTGTGCAGATAAGAAAATAAAATACTCAGGACTTCTTTTTCACTCATTGCCTCATGTGAGTTTTTGCTGTCTGTGAGACAGAGCAAGTTATTGCCTGCAACAATGGGAGCAATCAGCTATGCTGCCCCTCAACAAATAGAATAGCCATTTGATTGGTCCAAGTCAGATAAGTTACCTTGTAGTTTGCCAAACTATTTCATTTTTTAGTGGCCTAGGGCCTGCTCTGAATTTGTCTCACTCACCAGCTAACTAGTTTGGTCCTCACTATAGTTTGTAAGGTGAGGTACACAGGGATCACACAGTTAAATATGCTAACTGCGACTAGTGGACTTAAGGCATGTATTTCCCTACTCACAAAAATATAATATATATTTATTTTATATATAATATAAAATAGAAGTGTCATTTGCTTCTAATTAGAGGATTTCCATTTAAAACATGAAGTTTTGAAGCCCTATGCAGGGCCAGGCAGAGTGAGGCGCCTGCCCTAGGCAACTGATTTTAGGTGTCATTAAGTGATGGCAAATTCTTACTTATTTAATTTATTGTTGTTGCATTTTCATTTTTTACTGTTAGGGCCATGTGGTATGTTCTGCCTCAAGTGCCAAAAGCTGATCAGCCTTGAGTCCCATAAGACTGGACAGGGGGTGGTGGAGAGGGGACAATTACTGCTCAGACTACCCTGGTTCTACATTTCCTAAGACTGCCACTAGCTGCATTATTCCCTCAATCCTCTGTTAGGTGAGAGATGAACTCGTTTCCAGTTCTCACCCTACTTACACCTCCTGCTCTAGGCCTGTGTAGGGAGCAGTGTCAGGAATGTGAAGCTGCAGAGACCACCCATCTTTTTGCCTCTACAGCAGATCCTTTCTCTGGCTCTTCATTTCTTTAGCCAAGAAGCAACAATTAGAACAGCATTTGATAAATTGTTTTGTGTGGCCTCGGACAACTGCTCCACAATTTCCTAGATTGAAGTCAGTGATTGCAGTATTTTGTTTATCATAGTTTCTCCAGGATCCTATCAGAGCAACCAAATTAAGTCCAGGGGTGCCTAGAAACCAGGATCTGGTTTGACTCTTCAGAGAGACATGTTTCTGTCTAAAACGCCCCTGAAGGATGCAGTGATTGATACCGTTTCAGAATATAGCAGCTTCTGAAATGACCAGATGAATGTGGCTGAGAAGCATACAAGGAAATGGCTCCACAAACTCTACAAATCACAGTTTTGCACAGGAAGGAAAATGTTATTATTCCTGAGGCTGCTATTCTTTGCTTTCAATTAAAACACTTTCTCCATTTTGTTTTCTGCCTGCTTCCTGCTACAGAGATATATATACATTTTATAACACTAAGCATATCCTTAGCATCAGCTTTACATCTCATCATAAAAGTGGGGCACACAAACTTTATGAAAGTTGCAAATGAAAAAGTAGCACAATTCAAGACGTTAAGACTTGAGAATTTTCCTCACTGCAGAGATCCTGAATTTAGCAGCTGTGATTTGCACACATTTAGTGCCCCTCCAAACTGATCTGTTTTCTTTAGGGTATATGCTGCAACTTATCATTGACTCAATAACAGTGCCTTAAAGCTGGTTTTAAATTGGACTGTCCACACTTCATTCCACTTTATTAGTTGTTCTGGAATGCTTCTCCAATGTGATAGCATTATTGTCTTCTGGAGAAGCATTCTTGCACTCTGGTGCAACAAAAGCGGGAGAAAACAACAACTGGAACATTTGCGTTTTTATAAGTTCTGGGATTTCAGCAGGATGTTATGGGACATGCACTGATTGGAAATGAAGCAGTATGCCCACATCAAAGCTTTTGCAGGTTACAAAAGTGTTGAAAGCAGGAGCCACCGTGATACCATTATTAGCACAATAAAAAGGTCACCTGGAAGGGTCCGTAGACAAGAAAGCTGGAAACGCTGTCATCTCAATAGCAAACTTAAGCATGCTCAGAAAGGAAATACTAGAATATGGTTAGCACCACCAGAACACTTAACATTCAAGAAGTCAAACAGCTGTATTTTGAGTTCCCATTTTTCTGTCACCAATCAAGACGAAAATAAAATGAGTAGGTACTCTTCCATGTAATGCTATGCCAGATGGAACACCAGGTTTTCTCCCTTTAATTATGTTTCACAGAAACATCAGCAGAAACTTCACAGAACAGCAGAGCCTCCTCTTTACAAAAAAACAACTCATCCCTGAATCTAGGGAGTCAGTGCAGTGTAGAACAGGTGGGAGGAACACCAGGCCTGGGGAACAAATGCTGTCCTCCAGACATCTCTATCTAGCTCTTGGGACTGTCTCCAGGCTACACCTCTCACAGACCCTGTTGCAATCCCTTTTTGAACCTAGAATAGATGGAGTGAACTGTAAAAGCCCCTCTTGTTTTCCTGGAGGGAAGTGGGGGAGAGGAAAGTGTGCGTGCACGCGCAAAAACTCTGGCTTTTGTGTGACTGGATTATGGCTTGCTGTGCAAAGGGGAAATGTTACATCCATTGTTCCACCTACCATTGGCAGGAAGCCCCCAAAAGGTTCTAAAAGGTTCCCCACCACTAGAACAAAGCATAGTAGAAATCAGACCAGTGGAGACTTTGGGCCTCCATCCATCCATCCATCCATCTATCCATCCATCCATCTCCTTGAGAATTAACAGCTGTTTCCCCCTCAGCTGCCAGCTCAGAAACAAGAAGGGGGGGAGTATCAATATGGGATGTTGGTAATCCACTTTGGCAGACTCATGGGGTGCTACCCCACCATCAGCCGTGCTCTCTTCAAGAACTCCCTTCAGTCATTTACTCTTGGGTCCTCACTGCCCCTGCTACCCCCCTCCCCCCATTCATTGGTTAGAAATGTCTGAAGCAGGGAGCCTGATATATGTGTGGGAGATTAGCAGCCAAACCTAACAAATGAGAAGGGGTTAAGACCACAGAACTGCATTGTTGATAGGCAGATACTCAGACCATATAAATACAATTGGTGGAGAGGACTCTGTGTGATGTCATTTCTTCTTCTCTCCTGGTGAGGAAAGAGCATATAGCACTTCCTGTTCCTTTCTCTCCCCATCTCTTTTGACCAGTGTTGGATGCAGACATCCCTCTGCTTGCTCCAGCTTTAGGCTCATGCCTGAAGCTGGTTATATGGTAAATATAACTATTTTGCCTGCATAATTTTTACTGCTACTGTTGCTGTGATCCAATGCAAGATTATAAAGTAAGTAAATGTTATTTTTAAACTTACTTTACAAGTCATTGCCTAGTTCTTTATGAAGCGGGGTAAGAAAGGGGAGCCCACTTACTTCTTAGCTGGACTTGCTCAAAAGGAACCTAATTTGCAGCCTAATTTTAATTTTACTGCCAAGGATGGGATTTTGAAACTTTCTTCAACCCACACACCTGGGAGCCTGGTGGGATAAATTGCATTTAATATACTCTCTCCAACCCATTGAAAGCCATTCCCACAGTATGGACATATGTAGAACCCTGATGGTGGAGTGTTCTGCACTGTGTAGGGAGCCTAGATGGCTCTCCACCTCAGCCCTTCCTGACCAATGTAGGGCTGGCAGGGGGAGGACCAGCAAACATGGTGGCACTCCCCCTTCATATGATTATAATATCATGAGGGGAGAGCATCTGAAGGGAGCTAAAGCAGTCCTCCCATAAAATCAGTAACTGACCAGAGGGATACAGCATTGCACTTAGACCAAGGAGACCCTCCAGTTGGCCTCGGGTCAGTCACAGTCTCCCGAGTCTAACCTTTGATATTATGATGGGTTGTGGTGAAGATGAAGTGTGTGGAGGGTGAGAGGACAATGTCTGGCATCCTGAGATCCCTGAACAAAGGACAGCACAACAACGTAATAACTAAATAAACCTACCCTTTAAAATGCATAAAGTGAAAGAGTGAGAAATAAAGGTTGCAGGAGGAGGAGGATGAAGATGAAGAAAACACAAAATATTACTCCAATTTTGTGCATCTAAGATACTGTACAATGTTGCCTTTTGGGGAAACACACTGGGCAACAACCATCAGGAAGTTCTCCTGTGCTCACACCCCCCTCAGTGAAATAAATGGGAGTTGCATACAAGTATGGAAGTGTCCTGCTGGATTGTGTCCAGCGTGTTAATATGTAAGCGATAAAAGCAAAGCAGATGTTTATAGTCCCAGTAAAAGAAATGTTGTTTCCAAGTTCATTGTCTTTGGTTTTGATATATGCTTAGTTATATTACATTCTGGAAGCAGCTCATTTCCATATAAAGTGTAGATACTTTCATTTTTACTATGCGCTGTGCAGGGAGAGAGACTTTGATTTGTGTGCCTGAGGGTGGATCAAAGAAATGCATAATTTCCTTTAAGTCCCCATTGTCATGCACCATCAGTAAATTCCTGTATAGCTTCACAACATGGATATTGAGTTAGAAGAACTGCAGCCCTCCCCACCCACTCCTCCCCTCAAAAAAAAAAAAAAAAAAAGATGTGAGAGAAAAATCAGTGTATAGACTGAGAGAAAACTTCATTAAGGAAGGTTATGGAATCAAAGAAAACATATAAAAAAGAGGCTAGTCCAAGCATTCCTGGAATTTTTACCCACTGTTGTAGCCTGGCAGGGCTTGCTATTTTCAATTGCGGTTGTAAGTTACTATCAGAATTGGGAGAAATTGCATGAATCTTATATGTACTTCATCGCATGCACTTACTTCATGGTATCTACACACAGGGAAAGGCTACCACTGCTCATGGTTCCACGTACACATTTTGAAACAGGTGTGCATGTATCCTATGCAACAAGTACACAAAGGATTAATGCAATGTACTAGGCTCCCTTATTTTATGGTGGCAGCATAGGAGAGCTGTTGCAGTGCAGATCCTGCTGATATCACCATGTTGATGGTAGAGCATATTTCCCAATAGCAGATGGCGTGGTGGAGCAGCAGCACTCACCTGACCTCTGGTCAGTCACATTGCTGATGCTTACCAGGAGGCAGACAAGGGTCAAGGTGGTGGTGAGGTCAGCACATTGGAGACACATCAGCAGAGCCAACCCAGGGTTCTTGCTAGTGCAGGGATGTCCAATCAGTAGATCACGATCTACTGGTAAATCCTGGCTGATTTGGTAGATTGCGGGATCGTTATCATATACAAAAAGTTATGGGGGGAAGCTAAAAAACTCTGTGCAATCCTCCCCCAAGAAAGCTCAACAACTCTGGGAATTTCCCTCTCAACAACTCTATGCAATCCACCCCACGCACGCTCCTCCTCCTTCCAATGACAATGGGTAGATTACTGCCAGTTTTTTTAATACTGGGAGTAGATCACAGTCTCTTGGAGTTGGACATACCTGTGCTAGTGCATTTGGACTGCATCAGCCTCACTGCTGTCTCCTCTACCTCCCAGTTGGCAGCAGCACCAGGTCAAATGAGCCCCACCACCCCACCAACTACTGATATTCCCCTCCCATGATTGGAGCAATGACGGCATTTAATAAGGGAAGAACTACATTGTGGGCTCCTTGTACGTGGCCCAGAGCTTGGATGAGGGGGAAGGAGGTGAGCTGTAGCAGCTTTCATAACAAAAAAGCAAAGAGGAAGGGGGAAACTACTTCCATGTAGGAAATCTGTCTTGCGTGAAAGAGTCCTCACTAGACATTCATTCAATTCAGCAACAGTGATAGCAAACATTAGTTATCTCTCCCTGCCACCTCTAGAAGCTGTGTTTTGAGGCTTGATTTGATTAATCACACTTTCTTGCCACAAAGACAAGCATATGAACTGAATGTGTACCATTTGTCTCCTAGCATGAAGTGCAGCAGAAATCATGTCTGTATATTATTCTCTTTCTGAAGATCTGAGTTAATTGGAAACCTACAAAGAAGGGAAGTGCACACGCGCAAACACACACAACTCATCAGCTTACGCCTGTGTAAAACAAACTCACAATGATCACAGTTTTTGACTAGCAAAGTATATATTTTGCTTTGGATAGATATGAAGATCTATAGAATACTTCAGACCAAGGGCTGCTTCCTACTATTTTTATATTTTCCAAATCAGTCACTTGCATGACTAAGACAGATGTAACTTTAAACCATAGGTAAAATAAACTATGGTTTAAATGTGAATGTCAGTGTGCTGTTGTACGCTGCTGAAATTGCAGGCTACACCCAGGGCATTTGTGGCATACAGGTAATGGTGGTAAGATGCACTTATTTACACCCTTCTTTTACGG